GACGGGCTAAGAGGAGAGGCTAGGTATTAAGAGAGCGAGAGTACAAAATACTCTTCTACTCTTCTATACTCTCTAGGCCCGTCGCTGCAAGCGCTAGCGAAACGCCAGTAAAACGCTGAGGGCGCCACATCAATAGCTATGCTTCCCGCGCCCTCACTACTCTAGCGTGGGCTGGCGTAAGACTGCGTTCATACTTTGCGGCAGCGTAGCCCCCCCCCCGTAGCGCTTCCAGCGGTTTCGCTAGCGTCTGCAGCGGCGGGGCTAGAGAGTATACAAGAGTAGGAGAGTACAGAATACACTCCTCGAAGTACAAAGCTCTCCTGCTCTTCTACACTCTCTAGCCTGAGCAAGCGCTAGCGAAACGCTAGTGAAAAGCTCGTGAAACGCTGGTTAGCGCCTAGAATCGATACCTTATCCCGCTGCCTCGCTACGCTGGCGTAGCGAGGGCACGATGTAGCGTTATAGCGTACGCTGGTGACGCTGGGAACGCTAGATCGATATCTATCCTTTCCTCGACACTGCCGCTGGCGTACGCTGGAAGCGCTACGCTGCCGCAAAGTATAAACGCAGCCTTATGTGTAGGTCTGAGGTTTTAAAAAACCATGGAACTTATTTTCGTTACAGGACCTACACTTGCGGCATATTGCATGGTATTTCAGAGGCTTGATTTTTAACGCTAATTTCGAGTCTTCTTGAGACGATGATATACGTCTGCAAGAAAGAATTATATGAATCAAAACACAATACTGGCTTTGCGCATATATACCATTTTCACTTTAAATTCACCCTTTTTCAAACCAAATTCACCCTTTTTCAAACCAAATTCACCCGTTTTCAAACCAAATTCACCCGTTTTCAAACCAAATTCACCCTTTTTCAAACCAAATTCACCCACCTTCCAAATCGAATTCGCCCACCTTCCAAATCAAATTCACCCCACTTATTAGGCTGCGCAAGTCATCTACCAAATCACGCCGGACGCTACTGCGGGCCCCGCCCCCTCGGCCACGCCCACTTGCTTTTTGCGGAATTTTGATATTTTTTTCAAAATTATTGCATTTTTGGACTGCTGCGTGAAGCCCCGCCCAGTATGAGAGGCTCCGCCCACTTTGGAGAAGCTCCGCCCACTTTTCAAAAATGATGCAAGTCGGCAGTATAAGGTCTTGGCTTTCATGCTAGGGTCTCGTTCGTCACTCGGAACAAACTTTGCCTGATTTTCTTGTTCCGAGTGACGAACGAGACCCTAGCATGAAAGCCAAGACCTTATACTGCCGACTTGCATCATTTTTGAAAAGTGGGCGGAGCTTCTCCAAAGTGGGCGGAGCCTCTCATACTGGGCGGGGCTTCACGCAGCAGTCCAAAAATGCAATAATTTTGAAAAAATATCAAAATTCCGCAAAAAGCAAGTGGGGTGGCCGAGGGGGCGGGGCCCGCAGTAGCGTCCGGCGTGATTTGGTAGATGACTTGCGCAGCCTAATAAGTGTGGGGTGAATTTGATTTGGAAGGTGGGCGAATTCGATTTGGAAGGTGGGTGAATTTGGTTTGAAAAAGGGTGAATTTGGTTTGAAACGGGTGAATTTGACCGTTGAAACGTCGTGAATTTTGTTTTTGAAAAAGGGTGAATTTGGTTTGAAAAGGGGTGAATTTAAAGTGAAAATGGTATATCTAACACCGAAACCTACAAAAGGGGAAAACACTTCGTCCAAGTTGTTTTCATAATCTTCCTAATAAACGTCTATCAGTTCCACTAGTCCAGAAAAAATTCAGGACTCGCTATCGTATCATCAAAATTAGGCTAGTTTTAAATGCCCTACAATGCGGGAAGTGTACGGTAGCAGATCCTGAAACGGGGCAACGTACTGTAGTTTTTGAGAGATTCCGCCTTACACTTCCGAGACTTGTGCCCGTAGGATTGAAAATTTGCCATTAAAAACAATATCAGGGTCAAGCATGGTGTTGAGGGGATTCTTTTCCTTAATACAACCCTCCTAGGTGTAACACCTGGAACTTTTCATATTTCCTTGCGACAGGGATACCTCACCCACCTACTATCAGAAATAGTAGAACAGTAGCGATGCCGGCTAGAGTGGGGGGAGGGAAGGTTGATTACTATCATGGTGCACCCAGGATTCCCTATCAGGCCAAACATGGGCCCCAGTCGAATTCTTAGACGTACGACTGACCTTGGAGGACGGACGGAAGATGGCTGACTGTGAGTCATATAAGGGCGAAAAAAAGAACCCTAGTACGTCGCTCTTCACTTTTCGTCGGCCATTGCAACTGACAAGAATTGCACGGCAACACTCACCAAGTGGTATAAACAAAGCGCAAAAGTGCAACCAAAATAAGGGCACCCCTCGACACGACGCTCGCGACCTTTTTTCGAGAAAATTCCTTAGACCGTTACGGACAGTACACTTAATAATACGCATAGTTCCAGAATGTTTCTCCCTTTGTTAACGAACAAAATTGCGCTTTCGGGCACTCATAAACGAAATAATCGCCATCGAGTAACACCAGTAGCGATAGCTTTTATTAGAGGAAGCTTGAAAGTGAGTCGCTTTTTAGGAGAACGAATTAAACCAAATGGGAAGATGTGGCTCATATACCTGAGAAAAAAAAACGAACAAGCGCGTGGCATGATCTTAAGGGTTCCAACCGTTACGGATAGATCGGCTCTGGTAGCGTCAGCATGGAGAATCCTCGTAGCTGCAGAAGTCGCGACCACTGTGAAAGAGAGAATTTGATAAGTTCAAGTTCCCATACTAGAAAGCCGGTGGATAGCTTTCACCGTTGATCAGTCCTTTTTGGCATACAGCCCACATTCTACAGCCGGTTGGTTTATGTGCAATTCAATGTTTCTATTACCTCAAATGAGTCCGGTACCGATGTACCGCTTTCGGAGGGCCGGAGCCTTGGCTCATCCTGGCGTGATCCAGTCCAGCGTCCGTCCCCCGGAACAGCCACATGACAAGTCGCACCACTCCTTCCTTCATCACTTCCGCCGCAGTGGCGAAATCCCGACAATATCCGACAATTTCAGAGCAGATTCATACTTCTCAATTCAATCGCTGAAATCGGTCGCGAGGTATGAACGCACTGTTAGGTGACATTCCTGCCTCGCCCCTCGATTCAGTCGCTCGCAGCGTGCGACACGCAGGTTATATGGTCAGCGGCAGCTGGGCACAAATTGGCCCGCTGCCAAACCAGTTTCCCTTGAGTTGCTGAAGCCTGCAAGCGACAAACGCTATCATATCGTTCGTATTAGTCGTTCTTTACGAATTGTTGTCCTACACCCGCCCCAATAAGTGGCAGAGAACGGACTTGGCGCCCTGGCGCAGGCACACTGCCCGATACGCCCTTCGCCCTCAACGAACCCCATAGGCTTCTTAGAAAGGAGTCTGCTGTCAACTGCTCTTCTTTCTACAACCTGCTTCCGTCTGTTACCAGGGGGCTCACCTAAAGCTATCGTTTCCTAGACCTAAAACCACTCTCAGACGAAACTTTTTCACTGTCAGAGCGGGACTTGCTTATTTGCGCCTCAACAAAACCGCTTCCATCCAAGGCTCTTTGGCATCATTAAGAAGGTCACTAGCTAAACAATTGCTTGCCTCATAGTTGTCGTTTGTTGTTTTTATTCGTTTCCTTGGAGTTTGTATTCTGTTTCCGGGTTTTATTTTATTTCATGTTTTATTTTTAACGTTGCCTTACACAACGTACTGAATAAGAAAAGATAAAGAACTAGAGTGCGCGACTCGTGACGCTTGCACCGAACATACGAGCAACTGAACCGCGAAGCATGAACGCAGCCGCACAGTGTAGTAGTAACTTCCCAAAACCTTTTTCTTTTTAGAAAGAACGTTTTGGAATCTTCATTTCTCTATTCAACTCCATATTTCGAGTTGATGTTGTGGAAAGGGGACATAAGGGAAAAGTTTGATAGCCTTTAAGCCTCGAAAAAATGTAGTCTAAAGGGTCCATGAATCCTTTTGCTGGTATGCAATCAGTATTTCTGAAAGAAAAAAAATCCCTTCTAGAAGGAGTTGCGGAGTTCCCTAAGATCCCCTCCAACAGCATCACACAGCGGAGCGTTGTGAGTACCAGACCGACCTAAATAACTTCAAGATGGTGATACCGCGCAGCCACTTCGTCGCCCGTGGCGCACTGCGATAAGGCGTAATCAGCGACCAACAAAGCCTCTGAGCAAACTAAACGACCATCCATATTGTTTTATCACATGACCACGTCAGACTGAAAGATTTCCCTCTCATAGCCCTTATAAGTAAAGCCAACCATTCGCGTAAGGCAGCTTCAGACCTCGCGATGACGCGCGTCACGTTCGTCATCGCGAAGAACGCTACTTAATCACCTCGACAATCTCAAACATTACCTGCATAACCCCCTTAAGAACCATAGCGTTATAGAATAAATGATCAACACACCATGTAGAAAAAAAAGTTTATTAAATTCTCAAGAGAAAAAAAATCCAACGCTTGAACGCGAAGTTGACGATGGACGCCTGAAAATGAAAATAATAGGAAAAATCTTACGTGGACATCTATCGCCCCGGATTGAGTCCCGCAATCCCGTCCTATTGTGTTGTGTCCCTATATCCCTCCCAATTGATTTGAATTGACTGTCCACATATATCGTGTCCAGGCATTCGTAATCCAATCCACCGATTGTGGCCAATCTCCTATCCTATTTTTGTATTTGCTCTTAATCCTCCATTCATCACACGCTCCTTCATCATCCCCTTGAATTGAATTGAGGCTGAAACAACTTTGTGATATTCTATGGAATCTTCATTGAAACTTGCAAATGCCAAAATTATAGAACGGCACACAACCGCTGAAGCACAATTTTTAGCCACTGACGATCAAAAAACCAAAACATTAAGTATAATAGTAATGTTCAAACAATAACGTGCAACATGACTGTACGAAAAGAAAAGTACCGATTTCTTCCGGAAATCCACAACATCCAACATTCTTCAGCTTTTAATCGCGCGAAAGACTGCGAGATCGTGATCGTGAAGCAGAACGACGCGGGCTGTACTTTGGAGAAGAGCGACGAGGACTGCGCGACCTGGACCGATCACGATATCCGCCGCCAGCTGAGCTCGAGTCTTCACGCACACGAATGTAAGCTGTCTCTCCCTGAAAAAGGCTGAAATGAAATACCCTGCGTGGTTCGGCGACGGAGGGGGGACATTTTGCACTTTCACTGCTTCGCTAGTTCCGGTTTACAAGTTAAACCTGTGAACTCCTGTGAATCCCGAGCAAGCTCGTCTAGCCACCATGGTAGAACCTGTCAACTCTTGTAAGCTCACGAAATGGCTCTCTAGATGGGTCGACACGTCGAAGGGAAGTAGCAAAGGGCAAAATGCCTCCCCCTCCCCTCCGTCGGCGAACTTTTCAATCCAAAACAATTGGCAACTCACCTCATGAGAGCGGAACTTGGTGTCGTCTAGTTTTCGCACCGCATATTTCATGTCATCGTAACGAATGAATTCCACAACACCAGTACCATCACGCGCCACATCGGCATAGCAAACCTCTCCAGCCTCACGCATATGATCCTTAAAAAATTTGCTTGACGACAAAGACATAACTGCAAATGCTGTAATCGTAACTAACCTTGAGATCCTGCCAAGAACCTGTGGGAGGAAGCCCTTCAACGATGACACGGTGGTTGGAGCGACGATTTGGTGGACCACCACGAGGACGACCGCCAAAATCTCCACCATAACTGCCATATCCTCCACCACGACCACCAGTCATACCACCATTCAATGGGCGGCCTCCGGGACCACGAGGTCCAACTCCACGCGTGAACTCAACGCGAATGCGAGATCCATCAAAGTCATAGCCATCTCGACCACGAACAGCATCTTCCGCATCGCTGAAACCATCATAAGCATAAGTTATGGCTGAAAAAATGACGAAATTCATCTCATAAACGGCTAACTAGAGAATTTAGACATTTTCCAGCCTCGTGATAGGTGTGATTAATCCTTGGACAAGGAATGGAGTAAGCTCCACTAGCCACCACCACCTACTTAATGGTTACGATGCGAGGGCATAGAGAGAACCACTATCCGAGAACTGTGCTATACCGGAGCCTCATGATCGTCTTTTGAAAACAAGAAAAACCTCCAAGAAGTTCACTCCAAAGAGTTCAAAAGACACACTAGAGCCAAGTAGCCCTTGGAATATTTGTCGCAGTAACATGGCTATGAATATTCTGAGCTCTTTGGATCTTTTGCTCCTTTTGAACTCTTTGGAATAAACTTTTTGGAGCTTCTTCGTTTTTTAAAACATTCATAGAAAGAACCGTTTAGCGCAGAGAAACTTATTTGTCATGAAATCAGGAGCAGAAACACACTTTAATGGGAAGTGAGGCCCAGACCCTCGCTGATCGAAAGCAGGCAATTCGCATGGGACAATTAACGGCTCAGTGTTCGGAATTGGGAAGACTGTGATGTGAAACAACTCAAACAATAGAAACGGTTCACCCTGAAGCTCCTTCCCCCTGGACTGCGGCCAAAGTCTTCGCTTC